ATCTTTTGGAGATGCCCCAAATCTTATGTGAGATCCCATATCGGTTGGAGAGAGGAACGAAGCATTCCTTATAAGGGTGTGGAAACCTCTCTCTAACCAACTTGTTTTATTAAAATTTTGAGGGAAGCCTCGAAGGGAAAGTCCAAAAATGACAATATCTGCTAACGGTGGGCTTGGTTTATCTCACAACGGGCTTGTGATTTGCAGATAGCAACGAGAGTAACAGCAGCTCGTTATGGCGTGAAGCTAAGCCCTTCTTTTCTTGTGCCTTCCAATTGGACGGGATGCTTAGGAGTGATGAATAACTATGAATCACTACTTCCAAACAAGAAAGCACTCTTCGATATTCCAGTAGCACGAACTGCCGCTGCGTATTTAACGTCACTGGCGCTTGCAATCTCTGCTTTTGTGATTGATGGTGGCTTTAATGGCGGTGACAATGCATTGTAAGTTAAGCCTTCTCTGGTAGTGTAGCCTCTCTCTGTGATAGCGAGCTTTTTATTCTAACAACAAGCTGAGGCGCATATAAGGTTTTAACGTCTGAAAACTCAAACATTAGATTGTTGACTATCCTCAAGAATGAATTTGTGATATCCCACGTTGGATGAGGAGATAAACGAAACATTTTTTATAAGGGTGTGGAAACCTTTTCCTAATAGGCACGTTTTAAAAACCTTGAGGAGAAGCTCGAAAGGAAAAGTCCAAAGAGGACAATATCTGCTAGTAGTGGGCTTGGACTGTTATAAATGGTATCAAAGCCAAACACCGGGCGGTGTGCCAGCGAGGACGCTGGGCCTCGAAGGGGGTGGATTGTGAGATCCCACATCGGTTGGGGAGGAACACAAAACATTTTTTATAAGGGTGTAGAAACTTCTCTCTAGTAAATGCGTTTTAAAAACTTTGAGGGGAAGCTCGAAAGGAAAAGTCCAAAGAGGACAATATCTACTAACGGGTGAGATCTGTTCATAGAACAAGTGATTGAAAAAACTTAATCCAGAAAACCTTTATCAGAGTGTGAGATCTGTTCTATTCAGTTCTTGATGATTCAGTTTCCTTCATTTGCAGGTATATCAGACCCCAATTCTTCTTCAACAACCCTTTGCTTTCTTTTATCCAGTTTGTTATAGGACCTTACACAGATGACCTTGGCAATGTACTGCCCTACGCAGTGGAAGGTGTAGGGGTCCCTGTGGATCCCCTTGCTTTTGCTGGCCTTTTAGGTACTTCCCATCTTCCCCACATGAACACATTGCAAACCTCATTACAAGTCTCTTACACTCCTCCATGTTCTTTTCTACAGGGATGGTAGTGACATCTTTGAACTTGTTGCCGTGTGGGAGGCTCGAAGGAGGCCGCATTGCGCAAGCCATGTTCGGGAGAAGCACTGCAGCCCTACTGTCGTTTGCTACATCACTCGTACTCGGTATTGGTGGATTGAGCGGGAGCGTCCTATGTTTGGCATGGGGTTTGTTTGCAACGTTCTTTCGAGGTGGTGAAGAGATCCCTGCAACAGACGAGATCACACCACTAGGAGATGATCGGTATGCTTGGGGCGTCGTCCTCGGCCTCATTTGCCTCCTCACCCTGTTCCCTAATGGTGGAGGTACATTCTCGAGTTCATTCTTTAGTGCTCCATTTTTTAGGGGTGACATATGAAGTGTACATACGATTCTCACTTGCTAATAGTCGAACGTGAGAGAGCACCAAACTGACTCTACGAAGGATAGAGGCCACGTTTTTTTACATAGAAATTCTAGTCATCAAATTACTCTAATTTTAATATAGCTTGATAGTAAAAAAAAAAATAATAATAATAATAATGTTCTTAGAAATTTGAATTTCTACCATTATATTTTTATTATTTTTAGAAATAATTTAAATCTTTATTTATTTCATGAAATTGCATTAGGTTATAGTTTGGAATTCCTCTTATAAAAGGAATTGGGAAGATTCCATTACGTTATACCGCGAAATAAAACAGAAATAACGCTAAAAGCGGTCTTAGTGGCACAGAATATATAAACCAACCAACTCAACGAACCGCTTCATTTCTTCCTCCCAAGAACGAATTTGAAATCGGCGATCTCCAGTTCTAATAACCAGATTTGAATTGGAAGAAACCCTGTCAAGAAAGGGCCAAATTCAGCCATGAAATTGCGGCTGAGATCCCTAGATTTCCAAGAGACCGTCGGAATTGAAGTCCCCGATCAATGTTCCTTCGAGCACCTGAAACTTACGCTCCTCCAAACACTCTCGTCTTCCGTTTCCGCCGATTCTCTTCATCTCTCTCTCAATCAAAAAGACGAGCTCCAAGTATCATCGGAGGAGGATTCGCTCTGCTCCATTGGTATTACTTCCGGTGATCTTGTTTTCTTCACTTTTAATTCTTCGCAATTTCCCCCTCGGGGAGAGAGGTCGATTCAATCTTCTCCAGGACCTCTTCCTGATGTTTATCCACAAGATTCGTCTTCGTCGCGACCGCAGGTTGAAGGAGAGCAAATTCAGGGTAGCGATTTTGACCTTAAAGATCCTAGGTTGGAGAATTTTGAACCTGTATTCCTCGGACCCGAGTCTTTGGATGCGGAAGCAACTACCGGTGGTACGATCGAGGAAGAGGAGAGAATCTTGGAGTCAGATTCCGAAGAAATGAACGCCGAGGATGAACCGATCGGAGATGTGGAAAAGAAATGTTCAAAGCCGATTTTCTTGAGGAGAGTGATGGAGGAGGAGTTAGGCTATGGTGATTGTAATGCTCACAAGCTTTTATTAACTGCCGTTCACGCTGTACTCTTGGAATCTGGATTCGTTCTGGTTGGTCCTATTTTAGGTTCTGAGATTAGCCGTATCCACATGCCGGAAGACTGGCCTTCGCGATCATTTTCGATCTCACTCCGGTACACTTTACCTCAACTTTTGGCCGAAGAAGGCAAAAACTCCATTAAAACCGAGGTAGTTTTATTGAAGTTTCAGAGTTTGGGGAACTTTCTTAATGTTTATGGATCTCTTAGCTGCAGTAAAGGATCAGATGTTTATAGTGTATCTTTGGATGAAAGAAAATTTACACCCAATCTTCTTTCGATTTGGATGGATCCAGTGTCCAGCCACATAATAGACGAACACGAAGAGAATCCAGAGAGGCAAGTTCTTGAATTCTGGAAGATAGTGAAGGATGCTATTTCATTCCCACTCTTGATTGATCTCTGTGAAAAAACTGGCCTGTGTCCTCCTTCAAGCTTTATGCAACTTCCAGAGGATTTGAAGCTGAAGATCTTGGAGTCTCTTCCTATTGAGGACATTGCAAGTGTTCAATATGTGTGTACTGAATTGCGTCAATTGGTATCCAGTAATGAGCTATGGAAGGTGAAGTTCAATCAAAAACTTGCTTTAGGGGAGGGTGCTGTTCTTCCAGGAAAGAAAACGCCAGCATCGCGCAAACCTGAACATAGACTTCCACGACGAGTTGCTCGGATTCCGAGGCGAAACGCTTTCATGTCGCATTCTCGTTTGAGAGGACGATGAGTAGTGAAATCTGAGTTCCATTTAGGCAGGTTTTTGCTGCAGTTTTGGGTGTTTTAAGCGAATGGAATGAATGAAAGTGTAAGACATCTTGCCATGATGGAGAGATATCAGGTTAGGCCATGGATCTTTGTATATCATGGACCCCTCAAATCTCTTGTTTTTGCATATAAGAAATGATTTTGAGATGCCCTCCCTAACCAAGGAGTTATGTTTAGGCCGTGAGAACATGGTGGGGTCCATGATAAGAAACATTAAATATCTATGGTTCCATATCTCCAAAATCTTCCCACGTGGGACATTTATAAAATTTTTGAAAAATATTATTAAAAATTCCCATAGGTGGAAATTCAAAATTTTGTACTCTATATTAATTGTCCGGTTAAAAAGTGATTTATCCCGCTTCACATTGTACCTCTTCATGAAATTTATAATTATAATTATGTTAATTCATTGTCACGTCAAAGGCCTACGGGTCGTGAACTTCTTTTTTCGAAGAAGAAGCAATGACGGTATCTGGGGAATAAGCATTGGCTAACTCTGTGTCAGTAGTCGCGATAATACAAAGGATGCAAGCGTTATTCGGAATGATTGAGTGTAAAGCGTCTGTAGGTGGCTTTTTAAGTTCGCCGTCAAATCTTATGGCTCAACCCTGGACAGGCGGTGGAAACTATCAAGCTGAAGTACGGTAGGGGTAGAGGGAATTTTCGGTGGAGCGGTGAAATGCGTATAAATCAGAAAGAACACCAACAGCGAAAGCACTCTGCTGCTGGGCTGACACGAGATTAATCACAACACCCACCAACCTAAAATGCAAAAAACAAAAAAGAAAAATAAATAAAGTTAAATTTTAATTTTAGTATCAAACTTATTTACAGTAAATACGAATTGAGTAGTAATTTTTATGTGTTTTTGACTAAAAAAATTAGATATATTTAAATTTGTGTTGTTATGTTCTAACATTTTTTAATGTTGTGAGCTAAAAAATAGTTATAATTTGACTTTAATAGCTTTTAAAGTGTAAATTTCATTTTATATTAATAATTTGTAAGTTTTAATTTGGATTATATTATTTGGACTTAATTTAAAATGGATGATTAATTATTCTAAAATTTTAAATTTAATTGGATGTTTTCCATTTTAAAATTCTTAAAAGTGTAAAGAAACGAATTTAAAGGTTTTAAAATGAAAATTAATTTAAAAATAGTACAAAGTGCCAACCAGGGCCAGCTGTAAGGACCAGATCCAAGCCCACGGCCCGGCCCACGAAATCGACCCATTACCCGCCAATAACTCCAATTCAAATTTTGAAAAAGCGAAAAAGGCGAATCTCCCTAACCATGGTTAAATCTCAACCAACCAGAGTAAACCAACTCAGGCTTAGCTGCCGTCCAATTGTCCCCACAACGGTAAAAAATGTAAACCACTCCCCCTCTTCTTCCGTTTTATTCGGCTCTCACTATAAATACGCTTCTCCATTCATTTCCTTTACGTCTATCCGATCCAAAATAAGGGTTTCTAAGGGGAAGGCGTCTTCACAAACGTCTTTCTTCCTGTCGCGAGATATTTTATTTCTCTTCAGTTCCTTTTCAGATCTCTGTTTCTTCTTCTTCATTCACCGTTCCTAAGCCAAAATGAGAGAGTGCATTTCAATCCACATCGGTCAGGCCGGTATCCAGGTCGGAAATGCCTGCTGGGAGCTTTACTGCCTCGAACACGGTATTCAGGTATCATTCTCTCTGTTTTTGTCCTTCGTTCTCTCGATCTGTATGAAACTGTCGACATTTCTGCATCTGGTTTTGATTTGGCCTGTGTTTTGCTTATTTTTTTGGATTTACACGCATTTCGTTAAGTTTTCACTTCGTATCCTCTGGATCTGTAAGGAGCTGTATGCATCTCTGCAACTGGCGTTGTTTTGGCTTGAGTTTTGCTATTTATGTTCGATTTGTGAAGAGTCTGACTGTTTTCCTTCCGTTCACTCGATCTGTAATGAATTATCCGCATATCTACGCCTAGCGTTGTCTTGGCTGAGGTTTTGTTGTTCTTGAGTGTCTGTGAGTGTTTTATATGGCTTTTTACGAATTATTTGTTCAACTCCGTTTTCACAAATCTTCGTTATCTGTGTTATATACTCGTAAATCAGCTCGATCTCTGTTGTATTCTAGAGTACACTCCATGTATTATTTGAGAAATGGAATGTCGGTTGATCTATATGTCCAGATCTGGTAATGGAGTATCTATCTTAATGAGATTTGTGTGTACACTGTGTTTTCGTTGGTTCTTCCTGTATCCTCGTTACGTGCGTTTGTAACTTTCTTCAAATCCATGTTTTCAACATAAGTCGCACTATCGCTTGTCGTATTTGGTGTTTGAACAATCGATGTATTTATCTTTGTTATATTAAATAATCTTGGTTTAAGAAACTCCTTCGTATGTATTCATCAATTAAACTGACGGAAACGTATTTGTACTGTACAGCCCGATGGCCAAATGCCAGGCGACACTACTACTGGTGGAGGCGATGATGCTTTCAACACCTTTTTCAGTGAAACTGGTGCGGGAAAGCATGTTCCTCGTGCGGTTTTTGTCGATCTTGAACCTACGGTTATTGATGAGGTGAGGACTGGAACTTACCGTCAGCTCTTCCACCCTGAACAACTCATCAGTGGCAAGGAAGATGCCGCCAATAACTTTGCCCGTGGTCACTACACCGGTAATTACTTGGATCTTGATTTCTCTTGATTTGATTATAATTTAATTTAATCTCTTCATTCATTAACGTGTTCTCTTTTATCTTGTTTCAGTTGGGAAGGAAATTGTTGATCTCTGCTTGGACCGAATCCGCAAGCTAGCTGATAACTGCACTGGTCTTCAAGGATTCCTTGTGTTCAACGCTGTTGGTGGTGGTACTGGATCTGGTCTTGGCTCCCTCCTTTTGGAGCGTTTGTCGGTTGACTATGGAAAGAAATCCAAGCTTGGGTTTACTGTTTACCCCTCTCCACAAGTCTCAACTTCTGTTGTTGAGCCATACAACAGTGTCCTCTCAACCCATTCCCTCTTGGAACACACAGATGTCGCTGTGCTCCTTGACAATGAAGCCATTTACGACATCTGCAGGCGCTCCCTTGACATCGAGCGACCGAACTACTCTAACCTCAACCGCCTTGTGTCTCAGGTAGCCATTTAAAATTTCTTAGATCTTATCTTATTTCATACCACTAATAGCCATGATTTTTGTAAACTTATATCTTCTGTATGATTTCAGGTTATTTCATCTTTAACTGCCAGTTTGAGGTTCGATGGTGCCCTTAATGTGGATGTGAACGAATTCCAGACCAACTTGGTCCCATACCCTAGAATCCACTTCATGCTTTCCTCATATGCACCAGTGATCTCAGCCGAGAAGGCTTACCATGAGCAGCTCTCAGTGGCCGAGATCACCAACAGTGCCTTCGAGCCATCGTCTATGATGGTCAAGTGTGACCCCCGACATGGTAAGTACATGGCTTGCTGTCTGATGTACCGTGGTGATGTTGTGCCCAAGGACGTGAATGCTGCTGTTGCTACCATCAAGACCAAGCGTACCATCCAGTTTGTTGACTGGTGCCCCACTGGGTTCAAGTGTGGTATCAACTACCAGCCACCAACTGTTGTCCCTGGAGGCGATCTTGCCCGGGTGCAGAGGGCTGTCTGCAAGATCTCAAACTCAACCAGCGTTGCTGAGGTCTTCTCCCGAATTGACCACAAGTTTGATCTCATGTATGCCAAGCGTGCCTTCGTGCACTGGTATGTCGGTGAGGGTATGGAGGAAGGAGAGTTCTCGGAAGCCCGAGAGGATCTTGCTGCCCTCGAGAAGGATTATGAAGAAGTCGGTGCTGAGTCGGCTGAGGGTGAGGACGATGAAGGAGAAGACTATTGAACATGATGGTATGCTAGATCTCTCCTCATTGTTAGGGGTGGGTTATGTCTGTCCCCCCGTTCGTATGTTGGTGCTGTCTTGTCTGTTATGTGTTTTTTTTTCTTATTATGAAATGTTATCCTGTGATTCTTGTTTCCAAGGCTTTTGTGAACAAACATCTATTATTCTCATTTTAATCAATTTGCCATTTTATTAATGGCTTATTATTTTGCTCATCTAAAGATTTTATACAAATTCTTTAGATCTTAGTCTTCTCTTGGTTTGACTTAATAAATTTAGAGTTTAAAAAAAATAAAAACAAAATGCACAGATCTTAGTCTTATCTTTGGCAAATTAATTCCAAATCAAACCCCAAAATTGTGTTATTTTCTAGGTCGTAATTACAACAAATGTATACTGATTTTGATAAATGTGTAATATGCAAATTACATTTTAGTATGATAAATGTAATATGCAAGTTATTTTAGTATGCAAATTATTTTAGTTCTACCTACCGGTGGTTGGATGGGGATGTAATTGTTGGTCGATAATCTCTATCACTAATACCCCACACAACTACATAATTAAATAAAAAATAAAAAAGAAACTAGCAGAAGGGTATTACCCCACACAACTACATAATTAAATAAAAAATAAAAAAGAAACTAGCAGAAGGGTATTTCTTAAAAGAATTTGACAATAGCGAGAAATGAGGGTGCAACAAATGACCTAAGAGTTTAACTACAAGTTTCTTTATATAGTTTTATGATTTTAAAAGTAGTTTAATAAAAATTTAAAATTTTATTTGATAAAAATTTCCTAAATAATCAAACTATAAATTATGTAAACATGTATTAAATTCTAAGTTTCAAAAAAAGAAGGAAAAAGAAAAATGAAAAAATATAGATACTAAATTTTAAGTTAACCAATAAAAAAGAATTCATAAAAAGACGCACAAGAATGCCTAAAAGTAAAGAATGTAACTTTCAAAAAGAAAATGATGTTGGAGTGTAACTGTGGATTCCCAAAAAAGAAAGGCCCACACGCACCTAAAAGGTTGCCTAAACGTAGTGTCCAAGTCAAGAGTGTCTCTTTATGTTCGATCTACACAAAACTCAAAATTTTAAAGTTCAATTAAAACATCAAAAGCTCAAACCCCCTCCCATCTTTCATAAGCGAAAGATAAAAGTAAAAAGTAAAAAAAAAAATAATAATAATAAAAAAATCACCTAATGCCTTGAGAAATAAAATTATCCATAAACTGGATGGGTAAATTCTACTAAAAAGTAAAAAAATAAAGTCACCTAATGCCTTGAGAAATAAAATTACCCATAAATTGGATGGGTAAATTCTACTAAAACGTAAAAAAAAAAAAAAAAAA